CAGATCCAGGGAAGACTCAGAACTCGCTAGAGGAAAACCAAATCCCTTCTGAACTCTTTAGAAAACCCCTGGAAAAAGAGGGGCAGTGACACTGGGGAGAGCGATATCTGGGTTTCACTTCCACATTCAGTACTCCGGCAATCTAGATTATGAAGAAGAGGATGGACAGATGGGCAGACAAACTTTAAATGTAGGTTATCAATGTTGTTCATTTTGAAACAGAAAAACATTTTGACTTGCTATTACAATCTTACGAGTGGTCTGTGCCCACATCTTTATCAAATCCTTCTTTTTTTGAACCATCGTGCCAGGCGGATATATTCTTACTAAGGTACAAAGTACACTTTTTCACTCTGCTTCATTTTAATTCCAAGAGACATCAGAAACCAGCTCCACTTGCAGAAAACTTTGCCTCGAGTCACACACTGTGCTCTGATTTGCCTAGGGTTTTTCTTTTCCAGCCTGATTTCACCTAATTAATATTCCGTAGGTCAGAAAAGCAGGAAAAGAAAGAGAAACCAGTTAGAGAAAAATACAGACCAAACATTTCTTCCTCTGCACCCAACATCTGCATGTTGGGTGCAGACTACCTTCAGAGTGACGTGTGAGCTAAGCATTTGAAGGCAAGCTGAAATCGACAGCCAATGGTTTGGAAAATGGAGGAAATCATAGCGGATGCGATGCAGAGCTGTGAGCTTCGGAACGCATTAATGAGCTTCTGAGCTGTCGAAATGATCAGGGTGAATCTTAATCAATTCAAACGATGTCCTAAGTAGGCTTTTACATCTCTAATGTGCGCTTATGCAGTTATTGCAATGTCTTATGAATAAGTTACACTCCTGCAGGAGGCTGAGCCTGTTTGATACGTGCTTCTATATTTGGTAAATTATAATTCCCGTGCAGCGCATCGGTGGCTGTTCCAGTCACACAGTCACTGTAAAATAAAACACACACACACACACACACACACACACAGCAACACGGCACCATGCCTCACATTCAGACAGGCCATGTCATGTTTTCCACAGAGAAAGTAGCGGGCCAACCTCTCTCTGGCTCAGTATCGGACTGTCAGGCCATCTGTCTTGCCACCTCGCTAAAAAATTCACTCTTTTATGTCAGTCTTGGTAATCGAGTCATCTAATGCTCCCATCCAAATCGTGTCGCTGCTCAGCTCCGCGGCGTGGCTGCTGTATATCCTCTTACATACCATTAGTCATGCTTAGCGGCTGACAACAATCAAGGACACAGGCAAAAAAAAAAAAGAAAAAAAAGAAAAAAAGAAGCATGAATAACGCAGAGGCACGTAAAGCATTTAAGGTGCAAGCAAAGTGAAAACCACAGGTGGAGTTTGTGTACGTGAGAGGTGAAAGAGTACAAGCGCGCCGCATCCAGAAACACATGTGATTTTGAATTAGTGACAGAGAACGAGAGCGAGGCAGAGAGAATGGAGCAGGAGAGCGCAGGCTGCAGAGAAAATGGGAACAGAATTAAGAGATTAAAGGAGCTGCATGGATTAGGCTCCAGGTTTTAATGATGGAAATGGAAAAGCTGTGAACGGAGTCTGACACATTCCCTCTGGCACTCTTCTCTTCACTGCCCCCCCACACACACACACAACACACACACACACACACACAGCATGTACCACTCGCCGCCTGCATGACCAGCCATCCCTGTTCTCCAATAAATTACATGTGGTTGTTTTAAAAAAACATTTGTGTGCCGAAGCACGCTTGCCAAAGCAGCACAGCACGGCAACGCTTGCTGAGCAATATGGTCTGGATTTTCAATTTTTTTTCCTTAGACCTGAATATACTTACACACACACACACGCACACACACACACCCACACACACACACACAGACAAACACCACACAAACCCCCACAGTAAGCAATAACAAATTTGTGGGGTTTCTTTCTTTTGATACAAACGTATTGGCAGCGTGTTGCCGAAATAATTCAGATACTCTGAACTTTTTCACATCTCACCACAGGGTAGAATCAGCTGCTGCGGCTCTCTCCACAAATTTGGTCTTTATGAAATAATAGCAAAGATGAAAACTTTTGTTGAAAGGAAACCATCAGCAGTCCAAAGTCCAGTCTGCCGCAAGCCACGCAGAAAACCTGTGCTCTGACTAGATGGGACTGAAATGTGACTCTTCTGTCGTAACATTACAAATTCAAAAACAAAGTTCAAGGTTATAAACTCTTTTACAAGTCACTGAAAGAAATGATTGGATGATTTTCTTATTTATGGCTCTTTCTGTGAAAGCAAAAAAAAACAAAAACAATGGACGAGGTCAGAGCAGAGTACGCAAGTGAATGTGAGTGAAATTGTTTTTTTGTTTGTTTGTTTTCTCCATTGGGTTGTCATTAGCGATTCCTGACCTCAAGCAGCTGAAGTTCTGCTTCCTGAGAAACCCTCGGTGACGTGCGAGAGACTCAGCATTGATCCGTGGGAGACTCGGATACCCAGAGCTGCCAACTGGGATTTCATGCAGACTTTCGACTTTAGTGGGGAGTCTCTTAAAACAAGAGGAGCAAAGACAGGTGAAGGAATTTCTTTTTAACTTTTACATTTTTTTTCTTTTTTTTGCTCAATAGTCTTGTCAAGCTAAAGCACATAATTCACATCTTTGCTGAAGTATTTTGCTTTACCATTTGTGCACTTTTGCTCACTTTTGACCTTGCATTTCCTCTTTTAGGCTGAAAAACTCTGTTTTAGCACTTATCTCTTGAAGGACCTCCTCATGGGAGACTAAATCTGCTCTGTCTGAGGCAGCTTGTCATCCTGTGTGAGTCTGCAGGATTTGGCACTGATCTTGTTTGTTGGCTCTAGACCAGTGTTTCTCAACCCTGGTCCTCACCGCCCCCCTGCTCTGCATGTTTTAGATGTGCCTCTATTCCAGAACAGCTGATTCAAATGATTGCATGACCATCAAGTGCTGCAGAAGCCAGTTGATCACCCAGAGATACAATTCAGGTGTGTGGCAGAAGGGAAACACCTAAAACATGCAGGACAGGGGGGCGGTGAGGACCAGGGTTGAGAAACACTGCTCTAGACATAATGCCATAAAAACTTTTCGTATTACTTCAATTGATCCAGGCCAAAGTTCGTTTGACATGGAGCCTGTTGTTCTTAGGTCAAAGAAATCACCTCCTTGTATATAAATCAGGCAAATAATCTGGACAACTCTTCAATAAAATCCTGCTGAATAAAAATATAAACAATTTGCTGTCTTGGACCTCTTCATCTTTCCTTTCCAGCCCCATTTCAAGTCCAATAATTAGGCCTCTCTTTTCTTATCTCCCTTGAAACCACATTTCATCGCACAAAAACTTTGAGTGTGAAACTCTTCCTGACAGCTGAAATACTAAAATATCTCACGACCCTCTGAGTATTACTCTTTTTTTTTTTTTTTTTTTCTTTTTACACGGATCCCTGTCAGCCTCTGCTTTAATTGTCAAGAGAGCAGACTGCGCTGAAGATAACTCATGCCCGGAAGAAATGAGATGTTAATGTATTGCTGTCCGTTCCAAAGAAATCTGCAAGGTGCTGCTTCATGCAAATGTAAGGCGCCGTAGATTATAGAGGCAGAGACAGAAAAATAAATTGTACCCTAATAAATGAGGGATATCATTTTCAGTCCTGCTCCTTATTTGGATAAATCTCCTCAAAAACGAGGCTGGTGTATAACACGGCGTCATTTTAACCGAGGGAAATCCTGAACCAATCAAAGTCTTTGCCTAAAATCAAAGCCTGCCCTCAGAGAACATCAAGTTTCAATCCACTTACAACTTCAAGACGTCACAGGAGAAACCCACCTGGTGTTCAGCGCCTCTGTCTGTTGCTAATGATTGTTGCTACAATTCCTCGTTTGATCTCACTGGCTAGAATATTCTGTCAAAGACTGTTTTCCTGCCCATCTTGAACCCACCAGACTGCTTTACCTCTTCCTTTCAAAGGAAAGGGATTCTCTTTGTTGCAGGGCTCAGCATATCGACTTCAGAGATTAAATTCTCATAGAGCATTGGTAATAAGTTGTCTTCTTCTGAAAGTTGTTCCAGAAAGAGACAAAAGATGAAAGAGAATTGTAAAAAGGAAACTGTTTTTTGGAGGGGGAGGGGAAGGGTTGCCTTATATTTGAGAAAACGCAAATTTAAATCAGACACTTTCCTTTTGGGATGCACGTTTTGTCTGCAGGAACATTGCATCATCTGAAGCCGTGAACGGGGTCGTTTGAATGTGAACGACCCTGACTCGACATGCAGCGCGTAACGACACCACAGATCTGCCGCACTACAAGCTGCTGATGGAAAATACCATAAAGAAGAAGCTAATGAGCGCAACACTCTCTAATGACGGCAAAAAGAGCAATCCCTCCTTAGAGATTAAGTCTGCAGCCGGCTGGAGAGGGGCTGAATGTTTGGGTTGCTGTAAAATATTTTAGTTAAGACTGACTCGGTGGCGTAAACTGTCGAAACAGTTTATCTTCTAAGAAGAGTAGCCTGCTGTTAATACAGTCTTTAAGGCTGTGACAAACGCTAATCTACTGCTAATCCCCCGCTGCTCAGAACAGGATGGTGTAGCTGTTGCATCTTTAGAGGTTAGCGGTGCACCTGGAAAAAAAAAATAAATAAAATAGTTCTTTTTGTCTAAACCATTCATTCTCAGCAAACATCTGATGATTTCTTAACTCTGATTTTAAGGCTAGAAAGGAATCGGAAGCAAGGCGCACTGCAGATAAAAACTCCAAGACGAGACAGGATCATTAAACCTAAAGCGGGACACAGCGGAGATCCAATGGGAGCATGACGAACAAAGAGAAGTTTGACTTTATTAGGTTTAAATGAGTCAGAGGGGGAGGATGAAATGAGCAAAACATAAAAAAATAAAAAAAATAAATAAATTCACCGAGATGGGAAACGTTGTAATTGTAGCGAAGGCTGTGTGTGCTATTTGTTGCTTGTTGCTCACCAGATTTTTTTTTTTTTTTTCTTACAAGGCCAAGATAATACATGGATATTTTTATATGAATCCCAGCAAAAAAAAAAACAAAAAAACAACAGCAATCGGATGGTCTCATGCGTCAGTGATTATTTCTGGAGAGAGAGGAGGCTATAGCGGAGACGTGGAGGGGAAACATCAAAGGTGCATCTAAATTCAAGAGGACCCCAAACATAATATGAAAAGAAAAACATACCAGACGAAAGCTGCAGAGGTAATTAGTCAGACTTTTGAAGACAAAATAAAATAAAAAATAAAAAAAACTACAGTGCTGAACATGAGCATCCCCATCGTCTCCCCCCGCCCCCCAGAAAAAAGAACAGTAAACCGATGCTTGGCCGCAAGCGCTGTCAGGAGACAATCTTCTCCTCCGCTGATTTATTGATCGGGACATGTTCGTTGCATCAGCTGGAGGTGGTAAAACTGTTGCTTCTATTAAGCCGCTTTCACTCTGTTTCTTATCTTGTCATGGATTAAGGCACCACCGAACTGCAGGCGTGGGAGATTCAAGGATCCACCGCCTCCTTCTATAAACTGAGCTGTAACAGTTAGAACTGCGAGTTTATGGTTTCCTGAGGTGCTACTCTGTATAAAAAGAGGTTCATTCATACCGAGAGGAGTGGAAAATCAGTTTTGTTTTTTGTTTTGTTCTTAATGAGAAAATTAGTCTGCTCAAGTTGTATTTGTTCCCCTAAATTTAATTCAAATTAAGACAATGTATAATATTCCTTCAGGAATTCAACAAGGTTATTTCAGCAGAGGTCACAGGGAAACTTCAGTAGAGTCAACTCGCATTCGCTCAAACAGATGCCGAGCCACCATTGTTTAGTCATGCTAACCCAACAGGACCGCTGATGCTCTCGGTGAGTAAATCCTTTAAGATGACATGTCAGTCATCACGTTGCTGTCCAGAGTTGTGTCCTGTGCTGCCGTCAAGGCCACATCTTACGTATCTTTCTGCATTCCTGTTTTACAGATAAGACAGCGATGTGCAGCAAACATCTATTCAATGAGCTGACAGTGTGAAAAAGCAGTTTAACTGCACCACTCTGCATTTAAAAGAGGATTACTGCCCCCCCCCACACACACACACACATTTATGTAGTGAGAGGAGACTTTATTAGGTCACGATAATAAGGTTTGTGAGATGCTATGTTGTTTCTGTCAACATAGCAGCTAAATCATCGGTTTTACCCAACATTATTTTGTTAATTTTGCTCCTCTGCTCTGGAACAAACCTGAAGACCTGAGATCTGCAGAAACAGGACTGAAAATAGTTCCCTGTGCTTCTTCCATAAAGGTTAAAGATCACTTTCAAATTAATTACGTCACATTTGAATTATGCCATCGTCCGATAAATGCCTTTCTCGTTTTGAATGCGATTGTTTTCGCCTTGCTCTAGCTCCTGTACTCCATCGTCTTCTCCATTTACCTGTAAAACACTTTGAACTGTCTTGTGTGTTGCTATACTAATAAACTTGCCTGTCCTCTACCTTCCCTGACCCTGTATGTGATTTCAGCACAGACCGTCACCGTTAACTCTGTGCTGGAACAGCTGTCGTCATTTCTTTTCTGCAATGTTTTGGCTTGTGCATTTTTCTTCTTCTCCTTTTTTTGTTTTTTTGTTGCAGAGTTAAGCTTACAACCGCCGAGTTCAATGCACACAGTGCACGATTCAGAACAATTGAAAAGACAAAAGGCAATTATTCTTTCATTTCATACCGACTTGCTTATCACATTTTCCCCACAATGACGGAAGGAAATGGGGACATACAGACACCTGGTAATTCATTAGCGGAGCTGGATGAGCATTTTATGCAGCGCAGACAGAGGAACAAATGGGGCTGTACAGTGGTTCATCTAGCCATTACTGCCATTCTTATTCCACATTCAGTCCTGCCTGTAATTACCCTCTCTGCTTCTGATAGGCTCCATTCTCTCTCTCTCTCTCTGAATTCTTTCCATCGCAAACTGGAAGATAAACACAGAATGAAGCAAAAATGTGGAGCTCATGTATTAGAGAAGAAAGGCTTTGAAGCCAGCCATGTAATATTGATGAGGCAAACTCAAGAGAGATTAAATCCAGAAATTTCACTCCCTTTCTTTATTTTGCGTCATTAAGGTCAAATGCTTTGGAAGCGTGACAGTTTGCCGCTGTTTTCCAGTTGCTTGATCAGCAGACACGTTGCAGAGGAGAGGAAAGCAGGAATACCTAATAAATGACATCACATTTATCTTCTTTCCTTTGTCGATGTTTCGCGAGATTTACGTGGAAGGAGTCGCCGTAGGGATATGGGTTTTCGTCGAGGTGAACGGACACTTTTAGTGTCCGCTGACTGCGTTTGGTTTTAACCTGAGCACGACATGCTCTCTGACAAATAGAAAAGTTGCTTAAGATGTCCAGGTGAAGTAAACTTTCTGACGTTTACAGCGCTGTGAAAAGGTATCTGCTCCCGTAGGCATTTCTTCTTTCTCACTGAGATGTTTCAGATCGCCAAACATGCTTTAATGTCAAATATAACCAGAGCAAGACAAGCAATTCACATCATCAGGGTCACAAAGCCGTGTCTAAGGCGATGCCAGTGAACCGCAATGAGAGGTATTATTCACAAATACAGAAAACGTGGTGTTGAACATCCTCTAAAATTACTGAAAGAGGACACTGGAGTCTCATCCGGGGTGTCACAAAAGAATCGGCTTTCTGAAAGGTGCGCTCGGCTGCATCTCATGTAAAAAGTAACAAGGCATTTTGGAAAAAGAACATCGTATTTACTGTCAAAAGCAGTGGTGGTATCACGATCTGGGACTGTTTTGCTGCATCAGATTTTGGATAACTTGCTGTAATTTGATGGAACCATGAAAGTCGGCTTGTGATCTGCCACACACGAGTTACACAGCAGGACAGCGATCCAAAAGCACACTTGGCACAATCAATGCTAAATATCTCTAAATGCATTGACAGTCACACTGTTGCTGGTTTAATTACTTTTTTATATTGGACATTGCTGGTTTGGATACATTTTTTTTGTGTGTTAATATTTGAAAACTGACTTTTGAGTTCACTCTGCTTTTTACGTCTTTTGTTACAGCTTGTTTGATGATCTGAAACATCTAATTGTGACAACAAAAAGTAAAATCAGAAAAAACTGGGTCCAAATATTTTACATTACTATAAACCTGAGCTTCTCTTCACCAGCCGCAGAATAGTTCCTAAAGGTTTTTAGTCGGGTTTCTTCACAGCAGTACCACAGAGAGGCTCTTCTCTTCACGCATTGTACTTCTTGAGCAGGTCGTTCTGCCAGTGCCTCTTGCGGTCCGGAAACACCGTGGGCAAGCGGATCTTTTTGAAGTCCTCAATGCATTTTTTTAGATCCTCTTCCAGCAGCTTCCTCTCATCCTCATCGTCGTCGACCCGATGCGGAGGGCCGCCGTTCTCCCTCGCGATGGAGCGCGGAAGCGTCTTTATGTTGAGCGTGGTGGGACGCTGGGGGCTGTCGCCGAGGGGCGGCTTTGGAGGGACCGGAGGGCTGGAGGTGGAAGCCGACTTGGTGGAAAGCGGAGGGGGAGGAGGGATGGGGGGCGATGGAAGAGGAAGGTCGGGAATGTCTGCAGCGGGAGGAAGAGGCGGAGGAGGAGGAGTGAGGGGAGGAGGGAGAGGCTTGTGAAGGTCTAGCGAGGAGCTGCAGCCGGTTTCTGGGAGGCTTTTGGTTCTGCCGGTGCTGCCGAGTTCCACAATGGTTGATTCGTGAAGGAGGGCGGCAGGTTTGGGCGTGACTGCTTCGTCGGGAGCCGGTGGATCCGAGGCGACTGCCTCAGGAATGGCAGAGGAACCGCCTGCAGAGGGAAACAAAGTAAAACTTTAAAAACAACGTTGCTGAAAGTATTTCAGCTCCCACTTTACACAGCGTAAGTTGTAATATGTGTTGAAATGCCGTACGCCTGTCTGTGTTCATAAAATATCCTAGCTGAGGCTCATCTAGGACAAGGTAGAAACAGCAGTTCTGGCGCTGTTAAAAATTGATATAATTAGCCTAATGGTGGAGCTTTCTGAGAGCCAGCTCTGGTTCGCTCGTTGTAAACCTGGCAAGCCTATAAATGGAGTGAACATAACTTGCCAAAATTAAATTGAAAGCTAATTTTGGAATTTTAAAACAACAACCTGATTAGTTTCACAGCAAACAAAATAACCTGGATAACAGGACGCTGCCCGTCATTCACAGTCTACTCGGTCCCCGTTAGCTTTACCATATAAATAAAACGGCTAGATACAACTTGATAATGCTCCAGGTGTTTAATTTGAACAAAACAGGAAGTAGTTCTCAAGCTAACGGTTCTCCAAACAATCAAATTTTTTAAGTGTATGTTGCTCATGTGAAAGCTACTTTACATTTAAAAGTCCTTCAGAAGGTCACTGATATGGAAACCCATCGTCTTGGTTCACTGTAAGTAAGGAGGATTTCTGATACAAAAAAAAACAAAATTGGAAATAACTTAAAGGTTCAGCTGGAAACAACTTTGTTCAGTTACTTCTGGCCAGAAAGATATATCTTGTTTTAGTTTTATAGTGTATGTTCCTAAGGCTAATGATATGGGCTCTTTGCACCTAAAGCCTTGACGTCACACCTCCAGGAGCTAATGCGGCTCACTTTTTTCCGCTTTGAGTTACCATGACTGGTAGAAAAGACCA